AATTAACTGCGGTTGCCGATATAATTTTCTGGCTTCCGGCCTCGGCGCAAATAATGTTATTCCCGGGTAAACAAAATATGAATGCACGAAATTACATAAATACGAAGAACGAAGAAAGAAAACAAATTATGCAAAGTACAGATAAAATGTATATATTTTTCTTGATATAACGCAGATGTAGTTAATTTGACTGGGGTTTTACAACAATTTTCTATAAAAATAAACATGTTTTTTTTATTTAAATCTGCTATGGTTCGATAAAAATATGATTTAATTTTTTATTGTTGAATTTATTTTTTATTTTGTAGATACAAGCGATACAATGCCACAAGGAAGCCAACAACGTTTTTAGGGTAATTTTGGTGCGATTATTCCAAAAAAAATCATTTTCGAGATATTGTAAAAAAAACTTTTTTCGAAATGCAAACATTTGAATTCGTATATATATATATATATATATATATATATATATATATATATATATATATATATATATATATATTATATATATACGAGGTGAAGACGACAACATTAATGTAGACGAATAAATAAATATTTGTTTCAAAAAACGAAAATTCTCGATATTTTTAGGCGATGCCCAATTACAGATGAGGATTCAATACAAATACATTTAATATTACGACTACATTAAGTCACAACAAGAAAATAATTAACTTTATCCTAAGCAAGTCTTATATTAAATCTATTATTTATATTTAGACCACTAATTTTTTTCCTAAAAATTTTAAAATTACCATAAAAAAGTCTATTTCACTCGAAACCAGGTTACCATAGTAGCTGAAGAGATACAAGGGTGATGTCATATACACATTTTCTTTTGAGCTTGGGATAGTAAATATATCATTACTTCTAGTTATATAAATAAATATTGCCTAAGTCTGAATGGTCAGCAAAATTGTCATAAACACAATACTCCTTATATTTAAGATATTTTAAGAACCTTTTTTGAACTTTTTCCACTGCATTAATATAACAACTATAATAGGGATACCACACAATAGATCCGTACTTCTTCCGTGAACGCACTATGGAATTGTATAGCACTTTAATGCTGCTGTTATCAATAAAGTCTCGCGTATTCCGCACTATAAAACCAAGGTCTGTAGCTATGGGTCTGTAGCTATAAGTCCCAAATTATCTATTTATCTAAAAAAAAATATTACTAGAGTACCTAAGTCTCTTAAAAAACCTTTTTTAACGATATAATATCGGTTTTTTTTTTTTTGAGAAATTCGACAATTTTTAAAGTTCAAAGTGCTGTTATGCAAACAATTTTTGTCCGATATTAAGGCAAATATATTTTCACCCATAATATAGAAGTGGTATAATTATTATCGATGATATTTTCGAATTAAAACCGTGCTGCTTCGGTTTAAATAAATAAATATCATCGATAATTAATTATACCACGAGTTATATTTAGTGAGAAAATATAATGAATTTTAGGATTTAACGAATTGTTAGTTTGACATTTGAAATTAAAATGTGCTTTAAAATATAAAAAGACTTTAATAAACCTAAGTTATTTAAACTTGCCTTAATTTCATTATCGTTTACACCAACCCATCGATCTTTTAGAGTTTATAATTCATTGTATCTTGTATGCTCATTCTGAGGACTATCAGTGCCAGGGGGATCATCATGGTCATGATACTAGGAATAGAGGCTTGATAGCTCTGCCGAAATGCAGGCTTTCTAAAATGCAGCAGTCTTTTAAATACCAATCTGTGATATTTTACAACAAGATTCCACCTAGTTGGAAAAAATATTCTCTAAAAAAATTGAAATCTTCTTTAAAATTGTTTTTGTTAGAGCATTGTTTTTATAGCACGAAAGAGTTTTTGGAATATTGTGATAGTAATGTAATGTATTGATGCCATGTAGTGTTTTGATTATTAATGTTTTTTAATTGTATTTTATTTTTTTTTAATTCTTTTATTTGCTTGTTTATATTTGTTGTATTCTTTATTTTATTATGCAACTAATTTTTCTTGTATTTATTCTTTTATTTATAATTAGTGTAGTTGATAATTATATATTTATTAATTTATGTTCCCGACTTGTGCACACAATTTTGTATTGTTTTTAAGCATAAATAAAGTATTATTATTATTATTATTATTATTATTATTTTAATGATATAACAAATACAGTATTTAAATGTCAACAAATCGTCACCTGAGAATTATAGTGTTCTATCCACAGATCATACAACTTGGATCTATCTGCACTTTTTTTTTAAATTGAGGTTAGTCTTGTTTTAAGTCTTAAAGATGCATATTGTTCTATCTATATATAATTGGGGTAGAAATTGTACAATTTAAGACTTAAAACAGGACTAACCTCAATTTAAAAAAAATGCAGATAGAACACTATAATTCTCAGGTGACGAAATGTTAAATCAAGAAAAGTGTCAAAGTCCTTAGTAACGTGTAAACAAGGTGATAACAAATATTGTCGCTGTGATAAAATGCGTAAGTATGGAATACTGGCATTTTATTGGTTCTAATATTAATGAATTGTATTGTCTGTGAAATAGTTTCGGTCTATTTACCTGTAATCCCTGCGCATCCGCCATTTTTGTAAATGAATGTTATACGTTACAAAATTGGCGAATGCACCGAAACTAAAATATATATTTTATGTATTTTAAAATGTATATTTTATGCTGATAAATGCCTTATTAAATTATTATAAAAACTAAACAACCTTAATATTATAATGCTTACCACATTTGCCTAACAAGCCTTGAAATTAAATCTGAAACAGCTGCTTAAAACAAGCGTTAAAATAGAAAATAATAGTAGCATTTTGCCAAAATGGAAAAGACGCCTTCCACGAATACCAATAGGTGTGAAACTTGCTTTAATGTTGTTTGGCATTTAATCGTGTGTGTAATTCCCTTTTAACCTTTTGCTTGCCTGGTCAGGCGTGTTAAATGCCGCTAGCAAGCCTCAGTAATTATTTGTACCAATAAATTTTGGAAATTAATTGAATATTCATGTTTTATTGAGTTTAATTTTTTAATTTTTGATTAAATGAGTACCCACAACATGTACTTTGAGTTGGAAACATAGTAGGTATATATTACGATTTTGGTTATATGACCACGTTTTTTGTTTTTGATAAACACCCTTAATTTTAATGTAATAAAACAGTAATATGTAAGTTATAGAACTTAAAAAGTCGTTTAAAATCATACCGGTATTGTTTGTTTTCAGGCAACCAAGATATATTTAAAATAAACAATTACACTACAGCCATTTTGCCCACCATGTCTCACTATTATTTTCTTGTGTAGTTTGGCTCACTAAACGCAAAAATCACACTTAAAATTTTTTTCATGGAAGCGTTTTCGAGATATGAATTTTTAATTGTTTTTTTTTTTAATTTTCTGAGGTGTTTTGACGTTTTAGAGTATACTTCGAGTTCTAATTGATCGATATGACCAAACAAGCACTTACAAAGGTAATTGAGCCATCTACAACTTTCTCTTGTATAGTTTTGGTATCGGCTCAGTAGTTCGATACTGGCGATTTTATGAAGTTGAAAAAGTCCTTTTTTAATAAAAATCGAGTTCAAAAACATATCTTTCTGGGAAAGATAGAAATCGAAAAGATAAGTCCAGTTTGATTTATTTTACGTATAGATTATACTTAAAGGAAAAAAAAAAGGTTCTGTTGATAAAAATCCATGGATAAATCGCAAAGTTATGAATTTTTAGTGAAAGACCAAAATTCAGTTTTTTCAAGAATTTTTACGTTTTTTTATTTTATTTAGTTATATAAAGTTTAATATTGAACATTGATTTTTATTTTAAAAATTAAATATTGAAATTAAAATATATATTGAATATTGAACAATAAATATTGAAGTTTGAAGATATTGAAAGTTTTATTTTGTTGTAATAAGCATAGGTTTAAAAAAATCTGGCTCCTTTTTTTGTTTTTTGTTGCTTTCGTATTCCGTTTCTTGTATTAGGGACCAAATGTAATCCCCCATCATGGCTGCATCCCATAAGCCGTGATACACCCGCTCCATATCCTTCATTTGCTGGTGAAAACGTTCTCCGTGCTCATCACTAACGTCGCGTCGCCCAGATTGTCCGGGTTATTTACGTACTCGAACTTTCTACTTCTTTTACTTATTTTACACTTTTTAGAAGAATTCACGTTTGCGGAGTCATGTCAAATTTAAATTTTATATAATGTTTTCGGTAAAAAAACTACGTAAAAAACTTAAAAAATTCCAATCATGCACTTTAATTAGGTTTTCATTAAAAAATAAACATATTACAAAATAAAAGAAAAAAATAAAATAAAAATCGTCAAAAAGCTGAATTTTGGTCTTCCACTAAAGAATTCATAACTTCGCCATTTTTTTATGTATTTTTATCAACATTAGCTTGTTTTTTTGTAAAAATGTCAGCTTCACGAAAAAAAATCCAAACTGTTGATTTCAACCTTTTCCAGGACGATATGTAAATTTTCGACCTCAATTTTTGCCATAAAAACGAATTTTTTAAGGTATTAAAATCGCTAGCGTCAAAATACTTATCCGATATCAAAAGTATGTAAAATAAAGTTTTAGAGGGCTCAAATACATTCAATTTAAGGGTTTGTTTGACCAAATCGATCAATTAGATTTCAAGCTATACTAAAAAACGTCAAAACACCTCCGAAAATTAAAAAAAACATGTTTTCCCTGCAGTTAAAAAATCATATTTCAAAAACGCTTCCATAATTTTTTTTTGTGATTTTCGTGTTTAGTGGGTCACAATACATGGAAAAATTATAATGAGATGTGGTGGGCAGAATTTTTTTTTCGATTTTGTAAACTAGTGTTATCATGGCCACCCTACGCAAAAAGTAATAACATCGATATTACATCGATTAAGGCTTATTTTCCATACAAACTATACGTTCAATGAACGATTTTTAGGTGCTCTACAAAACTGACTAACTCAAAATTCTTTTCAGAAGCAAAAGCCCGTGTGCTGGGTCCGAGCGATCTGCACGTCAAGGCGGGCAGTTCCGTGACGTTGACCTGCGTCATAAATCAAGGACCGCACGATCTGGGCACCGTGTTCTGGTACAAAGGTGACGATATGTTGCAGACAAGTCAACCGCACATTAATGACGCCGATAGCTCGCCCCGGCTCACTATACAGGTAATAGAAACGTTGCTGAATATGCATTGAATGTCAAATTTGTAAGTGACAATGTGTAATTGTTTGCGATTGATTTGTGTCCACTGTTATAAAAATCAGATTTGTTAACATGAGTTTGTAGTTTGTTAATTTTATTTTGTAAAATTTTAACATAATTTTTCGTAGAAAACAAGGGTTTGTAATTATTTTAACAAAGGAAAATAGTTTACCAAAAATTTTGTAATATGCATTTTGTAAGCATTTTGTTAATTTTAAAGGTTACAGATTATTTTGTTAATGCTTAACAAATTATTTCGTTAAAAAAGTACCTGATTTCAGGCAGTCAATCAAAACATTTCCCATTTAGAATACGCATTAACAAGTTTAACTAACTGTATGGTTCGGAACACAAACGAAATTATAATTCCTCGTTCTTATATAGGTTTTGGAATCATTCACTGCGGTGAGACGAAAGTAAGTGGTGCCGTACCGTCTTTTGACATGTTCTTTATGTTATATGATTTCTGGTCCTTATAAAGGTTTTGAAATCATTCACTGTGGTGAGGCGAAAGTAAATGGTGCCATCTACCGTCTTAAACATATAACATAAAGAATTCGTCAAAAGACGATAGATGGCACCACTTACTTTCACCTCACCGCAGTGAATGATTTCAAAACCTTTATAAGGACCAGAAATCATAATTTCGTTTGTACTGATGTTCCAATAAAAGGAAACAGGTGTTTATTGATGCTGGTGAGGAACACGAACGAAATTAAAGAAAAAGACGAAATAATTACATCAATAAGTGTTGTAGTAGTACTGATAAATTATATTCTACCATACATCTTTATAATTTGATAATTTCAGAATTATGTTATTTAATTGTTTGTATGTTTTTGTTTTGAGTTCACTTATGTAGGTATGTGTTAATTTGTTTGTTTAGGAAATTGACTAAAAAAGCAACATTTCTTATCAAAATTCTTTTCATTTAACTTCCGATCGGAACTCGAGTTACAAAAAAAATTTTTGTTACTGGGTCTACAAAAAGGTTTGTAAAAATACAAAATTACAAGAATTATGGTTAAAATATTGATTTAGGATTTTGTTACTAAATCTTTGTTATATAATTACAAACCACTTATTCAATTAGTTAACAGATTACAGTTGGTTGTAAACTTAACATAAAGTTATGTGGACCTGGATTAACATAAAATATAGTCAGGGTTGCCAGATGAGGGGATTTTCCCCAAATATGAGGGTATTTTTTTTGTTTGGGTAATTTTTTGGGGATATTTTTGTCTGGGGAAAAATATTCAGTTGGGGTCTTTAAGGGGAATTACGATTTTACCACTACTCGATAAAAACTTTTATCTATTTTGCGTTCATAATGACTTCACCGCTTTCGGTGCTGTAAAGAGGTACTTTATCCCACCCAAAATTTTGATTTTATAGGTTGGCTATACTTTAAACAGCATATTTTGCATATTGGTTATAATATTTTTATGATTTTTCTAGTACTTACGAGACTTTTCTGGCAATAAATTTTGTTTAACACCAAAGAAAATCCTTGTGTTCTTCTTTAACATTAACAGCCGCTTATTGTAAATAAGAAAATTAAGTACGGTATGGCGAATCGATTTTGACATTAACTGTCAAACCAATAACTGTGATACCAACTATCTACAGTAAAATTCGACCAAATTAAATTTAAGGTATAAAATTAATTTTTTTTATAGAATTTTTGCAAAATATATAAAATAGCATAAAGAACACATGTCATAAGACCTTTTGTCGCACTCGTCCATTACAAAACTCGCTACTTCGTCGCTTATTTTATAAATTGTCGTCTTATGACATAAGTTCTTTAATATACTATTCTAACATTAAACATTAGTTCCCTAACCCAAAGATATGTATTTTTTATAAGAAGTATTTTTAGAAGAAACCGTATTAGGTTTATTTAATACATATTATTATGTAATAATTTGGTGATTTATTCGTAACACAAACTATTTTTGGGGATTTCATAGATATGAAAAACATATTTTATTAACAAGAATTCAATAATGAATCAAAATAATAAATAAAAAAAAATCTGGGGATTTTTGTTTTTAATTCCTAAATTTAGAGGATTTTTGAATTCCGATTGGATAAATTCCGCTGACTGATCTGGCAACCCTAAAGATTTGGTTAAAATTAACAAATATGTTTTTACTGTGCAGTTGGTAAAGCTTAAAAGAACTTTATGTTTAGAATGTAAATAAAATGTATTTTATATGAAATACATCATGTTCTGTGATTGCCATAAAATTAACAGCTGTATCTTAATCGAAAAAAAAATTGAATTGGACACCATTTATGATAAATTTAGCTTTAAACGGAAACTTTATCTGCCCATTTTAAATCATTACAAATCTAACCTCACTCATATGTATTCGGCTCACGTCCAAACCCTAACATCAATTCAAGACATACGTTGTGCACCAGAGGCCACTTAGTTTTAGATTTAGTCCACTCGAAATTATTAAATTTGCATTTAGAGGTAAGGCGGTAAATCAACTAAGAAAGCAACCTTTTTCTTGAGCGGTTGCGGCCGGTTGGTATTAAATTAAATTTTCCTTTTTTTTACTTGCAGAACCAATGGACGGACGGTCTTACATCTCGCCTACATATATCCAGTGTTCATTTGTCGGATTCTGGAAATTATTCGTGTGTACCGACCATCGCTGCCACGGCCAGTGTCAATGTACACGTTATTAATGGTAAGCCACATAATAAAAATGTAAAATTAATAGTATATTATGTATTAAGTTTTATAAACGCCATTTTAGATTTATTAGGCACAAGCGAAGCTTGGCCTATAGAAAAGTTTATAAACGAGTCGCACACTATACTTTTTCTATGACAAATAGTTAAGAACATCTAAAAAATTATTTAAATAAAAAAATTGTGTAAAGCGACATCTATACGAAAATAAAGTATCCATCCCAATAAACATTTTTGACGTAATTTTCACCATTAACATTGTCCGTTATGATTTTAATTAAACAGTTATTGATACTTTAAAATATTAAAATAACTTCAAAATATGATTATGTTTAGAAAATATATTATACTTTGCACTACTACTGCGAAATCAAAAGGTTAGTACAAACGTTTATATAATCTTTTTTATATATATATATATATATATATATATATATATATATATATATATATATATATATATATATATATATAGATTTGTTTGACCGCACATACAGACCCAAATCGTCATACTTCGCCGCCTATACAGACCAAAATTGACGTTTTCAGACCCGGCTTCGGGACTGAAAAAGTTAATCATAGTATGGAAATCAGGGGGGTTGGTGGGTGCAGGGGGTAAATTTTTAGGTGGGCTTGAAAAGGCGGTGAAACATGATGAAATATACAGATTTAGTTCACGGTTCAGCCAGTTCGAGGGCGCCTCGGTCGGGCTCAGATAGCTGTATATATTCGGCATAGTTAAACTACGTCTTCAAACCCTAAATTTGGCAACGCGGCGGCGTTGGTATATAAATAATGAATATGTATTTCACAGCTCTGATACAGTCCCGATATGCTCTTTACCATTTGGTCCAAAATCACACTTTCCCTCCTGAACGGAGACAAGTAAGCTTCAGATAGTAAAAAAAAGGAAAATCTACTTTATCAAATTTTGAGGGTTATACTTTTAAATATTCGTCAGTAAAATTGAAATGTTAAATATTTAACACAATATCTTATTTTTTTAGTATACATTTTTGGTAAATATTACTGTAAAAATATTAGTAGATCGTAATTTTTAATATGGTTGTATGGATGTGATTTACGTATAGTAATATTTATTGTATTATACAAAACATTAATATTAAGTTAATAAAAAGATTTGCGAAATATCTCAAGATTATAAAGAACCTTACACTGTCTGTGGACCATGTAGTTAATAATTTTAATGGTAAGTATTTTTAATATCAATTTTCATTTCCGTTTATTTATTTAGTATGATTATTATCATTATTAGCATTATTATCGTTATTATTATTATTATCATTAGCTTTCTTATTGTTGTATTATAATCAATACATATTGCCAAATTTGATTAATTGAATATTTACATGTGTTTTTAGAACCTACCTTCTTATCTTATCTTATTTTATTATTAAATTTAACCAGCAGCGTATAAAGAAAATCACCCGGTATAATAATTAAAATTAAATAAAAAAAATTATTTGTTTTAGATATTACCTACAGCATGCCAAATTTTAAACTTGTATTTAAAAATTTATATTTTTTTAATATTGTACGGTTACTGTATAATTTTAATACCCTGTATCTCAGAACTACTAAATAAAAATACTAAAATACTCCAATTTGAATGCTGATTAGTAAAAATGAATTTTTTTTTTATATTTTCCAAATTAAATTAACCAAAAAGTTTCCACTTTAAATTAAAAAGGAGTGATACGTCATTTTAAAGGCATTTTAAATATCTACATTTTGGCGTATTAGTTTTTAAAATCGGTTAGTTTGTTCCTGAGATATTTAAGACAAAAATAAATTAAAAAAGAAAAATTTTCTGTAATATCTTGAAAACAAACAAACCGATTAAAAATTATTACGTCAAAATAAAGGGATTTAAAATGCCCTTAAAATTATACGATACCCCTATTAGTTTGAAAATGGGTTGGTACGTTATTTGAGAAAAACTTATTTTTTTAATTTATTAATTATACACCATTATACATATTGTATATTCACAAGAATCATTTTATAAAATCACGTACTTTTAAACCACACTTAATTAAAGTAATAATTTGTGCCAACCAACCGATTTTAAAAACTAATACGCCAAAATTTTAAGGGAAGAAGAAAAAATAATTTGATGAAGTACGCAAAATAAATAAAGTTAAATTTTTTAAAGGAAATACTTAAATTTTCTTTGCTGTCGAAACTATATTCTACAGGATTTTCTGCGTTTCTTTGGATGGGGATCAGGGGCGTAGCTTCCGCGGTATCAGCCGTATCAATGATACGGGGCCCCCGATGGGCTTCGACATGCGTAAGCAAAAAATATATTACCCACATGTTAAAAAAATTGAGGCATCAAATTAAATAAATAAATAATATTTTTATTAAATTGTTTATTCTTCGATTTATTAAATTAAAATTTTCCTGAATACCCCCCTGTTCCAACGAGGCCGTTAACTCATACAAAATGTTTCTGCCCGCACCTTTCCGCTATGCGTTGTCTACGGCGCAGGATGTTATTATCATAGGATAAATTAATAGCAAATTAGAAATAATTATTAGCGTTACAATTGTTTCAAATGACTTTTCTTTATTTTAAAATAGAAACCTTTTAAAATATGTTGAAGAACGGTAAATGTCTAAAACCAGATCAAATTTTAAAATTTGCCTGTACATTAAAAGCTATGAATACATGGGTGAATATATTGAGATGTCCCCCAAGTGAAAATGATTATTTTTTATTTTTGGTTGTTTCACTGTTAGTCTAGAATGGGGTTTTTGGAAAGCCACCAGGTCTAGTAATAACATAACATAAGTGGTTCTGCACTAATGCAAGAATTTTAAGAAATCATACATTTTGAATATTAGAGCTTCTTGGAAGATATCGGAGGTTAGGATTTCGTATTTTTTTTTAACCTTTGTATATTTAAAATAAGTTATTGTATCTTTTGACACCTTAATATTTTTTTAAAATACAATTGTACATACTTAAAATATTTATGAAAAAATCTACTTACTGAGATATTACACTTCACGGTGGATAGGTTTTTAAATAGCAAATTAATGAACTTAAACTTTTGAATTATTAAACAGCAACACTCTCATCTGCATATAAATTCTAACTGACCTTCACATATGTTTTAAATTTTATGCAACGGATGGCGCTTTAATCATTTTAAATAAGCAAAAACCTCTATTTACAACATTATAGATGCATATGCATCTATAATGTTGTAAATAGAGGTTTTTGCTTATTTAAAATGATTAAAGCGCCATCCGTTGCATAAAATTTAAAACAAAAACAGATTCACGGAGGATAGAATCAATTTTTGTAACACCTACATAAATGATTATAAAAATTATTTCTTTTAATTTTTAATGATATTTTATATTCGATTCGATTGCTTTGGATGTGTTTAATTTACTTAGCAAACTGATATTTTTAGTATGCTTTTACTACCTCAGATATTTGAAAACATATAGGTTAACCTAGAAAGAGTAACAGTCACGGAGGATATGTTTTAGACTTTTAAAACATTGTAAAAAATAATTAATTGCGGTTAAAAATCTGGAACCTGAGCTGTAATATCTACTTAATTATGAAAGATCAAAACACAATAAAAGTGTAGGTCAAACTCATCGGGGGACATTTCATGAGATTTACCCACATATATTATTTATTGAATTATAAAAATTGGTAAATGCAAAAACATGATACCCTAAAAATTTTTTTGCCAGCACCTTTTCCGGTTTAAGGGCCCCTACCAGATTTTTGATACAAGGCCCCCTTGAGGCTAGCTACGCCACTGATGGGGATACCTAAAAATTAACTTTGTTTTAAAAGAAATAATAGTAAATAAAAAAACCAACCTAACCAAACATGCCTCCTTACCTGTATTTTGATTTTTCCCTAGTATTGCCATTTGAGCAATTAATTTGCTTCCTGTCGATATTTTCACACCACACAAACAATTTCGCCAATTCTGCTATCTTCCCGATTTACAGGCATTGAAGAGAATCACGGATTAGTATATTCTTTTTACGTACTTTTGACCTACGCCACGAGTCCCTAACATTTGGCAACATCGCTGGGTCTCGGGACGTTGGTTGAATATGGTTATGCAGTATAAACGGGCGCGAGAAGTCGGTAAAATGATGCGGGTTTAAAAAGTGTTATTCAGTTTGCAACTTTTTTTATAAAAAGAAAATGTTTCCCCTTGAAGCATGCTTATTGAGTTATATTCTTTAAAAGCTTATTTACGGTTTATATACTCGCCTAAATTACCTGGATCAAGTGGGTCTTAGGTAGCCTGTATAGTGTACCGGGACTGAAAACGTGGACCGGATAGATATATATATATATATATATATATATATATAATTATAATTAAAAATAATTTTTACATTTAGTATTATTTTACAGGAAAGGCACTTTATTTTAAAGATTGTATGACATTTGACAACTATCATCTAAATTAATACTAACTTCAGCCCGTGACTAAAACTCCATAAAGCCACAACTTTTCAAAGTGTATTTAAAAGGTCAATTAGTGTCATGGAAAAATGTACGATAATGGGGGTTTTAAAGGTGGGGGTAGAATAAAGAATTTAAATCCAATTTTTATTCTAAAATATTTGACTTGACTTGACTAAATAAGGCAAAACTTCAGTCACAGCTCGTCAATGTAGGAGTGGATAATAGTATATTATGTAAGTTTTATAAACGCCATTTAAGTTACGATTATTATTAGGCACGAGCGAATCTTGCGAGCAAGTCTTTAGTAAAAACGAGTGACTAAATAATAATATAATAATACTATACTTTATCTACGACTAACAAAAAAAAATTTAACACGTTAACTGCCATGAGTTTTTTTACAAGTAAGCCATATGTTTTTAGCTTTTAATTCTCAATAAAAATATTCCACAATTTCTATAATACATTTGCTCAATTTTTTTTTACCCCCTTGCAAGCCACAACATAACATAGAAG